GATCCAGGCCCAGACCGCAAATGTGACAGGCACCGCAAAACCACGCTGGCACTCACCGACTCTTTGGACGTCCATGGCAACCGCCCTACGATGACCTTTCCATGTCTCAAACGGACCAGTACCGCTGCCCGCCCTCGCGGACTGGCGGGGCACTTGCATGCGCATTGCATATCGTTGCAGACGCGAGGGAGGGAAGAAGGAAAGGGAGGGGGTATCGCATTCAACAAGCCCTATTTTGACTTTTATTATTCGTGCTCTTGCGTCCCCAAATGCCCGCTGCCGGTTGGGTTCTGAAAAAGCGGTTTTTGGATCCCATACGCCCCGATGGTGAGGGATCATTAGGGTACGGTGACGTAGGGTTGCGCACAGGATTGGTGTTTTTTGTCTTTCTTGTCTCCTCCTTTGACGACGTTCACACTCTGACCGCTTCGCCTCGTCATGTGGTTTCTTGAATCGAGCCCATGATCACTAACGTGGGCCGGTGTTAGAGTTACACGATATTGCTAAGAATGGCGATATATCGCGGGGCCGGGTGACGTCCTACCAGAAGACGACAAGACGCAACCGCCCCAGGGACATCAGCCCACAGGTGTCGGGTGCTGTCAGTCCGACTTGGAGCTTAGAGGACAGCTGAATGAATTCCTACAGTTGACCGACCGACGGCAATACGGGCAGGAAGACGATTCCCGGGACGCGGTCGACGGCGAGCGAGTAAGCGGGATGTGACCTCCGAACCTCGCCGTCCTTCCTCGCCATGCGCCAAAGTGGGCAAATCTCGATGTCTTGTCTGGTCTCTGACAATCCGCGCCTGTTTCGGTGTGGGGAAGCGAACAAGAGTCTGGAGTTTAAAGCGGCAGCGGCAATCGGAGACCACTCGCGCGCTCCGCTTCTCGGTTGGCGGAGGTGGATTTGCTTCCCACCCGCGATGATCACGAGCGGTATCTGTAACGCGGTGAGAGGAGCAAAAGGTCCAAATTGAAAGTGCTGGCCGCGACTGGGCGGACTAATTCATGATAACCCCGGGATGTCCATGGGTTATTCCCCATGATTCTGGACTCTTTCAACCAGACCCCCTGGCTAGCGGTGATCTCTTTAGCATTCTGCGAAGAAGGGGCCAGAATTAAACCTTGAAGAAGATTTTCCCTGATTTTTGCTCTCCTTGAGCGTGTGCCTTTCTCTATCATGGGAGAGGCGTGCAGCGGCAGGCAGACCGGGACAGACCAGGCCCCGGAGGCTGCTGCTGCTGCTGCTGTGGACAACGCATCAAGCACTACAACCACCGCACGCGCGCTCCGGCCGCAGACGCAGATGCGGACTGGATGCAGCGAACCTTGACGGCGAGCCATGCACACCATGGACCAACGGATTCCAGCCTGCGGCTTCTCGCCCTGTCTACACGCCCGCCTCGCATTTCATTCAAAACGTCATGTATGCGGTGTATGCACGCCCCTCTCTCTCTCTTTCCGAAGGGGGATTTCCAGAAGAGCTGCCGTGCAGTGCAGATATCAAACTCGCCCCTCCCTCGACCCTGCTGGTGGTGGTTTGGCCTATCGGGAGGAGGAGGGTTTCTGCAACAACGGCGGAAAGGGGCCAGGAGCGGGAGGGGCAGAAGTTGTGGTTGATGTTTATTCTTCAATTTTGGGCCTGCATTTCTCTTTCTTCCAATTCGCGAATCGTGTAGCGAAGCTGGGAAAAGGGTTTCGGGGGCCAGGGGAGGGAGCGGATCTGGGTGTCATGCAGTCGTTGACTGGTCCGATTTCCGTGGATGACAGCTGGCCAATGGCGGGAGGGAATCATCAGATAACATCCGGGATGGGATGATTCTTCGTGTCTGTGATGGCGATATTGCCATGATCCAAGTTGAATCACGGCCGGAGGCCTCGGGGGAGATGGGTTCTTCGTCGCATCGTTATTGAAGATGAATCATCACCTGACATGTGAAGTTTACACAAGAAACATGCTCTCCTGTCTTGACAAGATACGGGGCCCCGGCAACCCGACGGCCGCCTGTGTAGATATGAGTCAAAGCTGCCCATCGCTTGCGCGGACTTTTGCACAGAAACCACGTCCCGTGACGGACTTTGACGGCGACATCGCCCAAAGAAGCACACTTAGACCGCGCAGCCTCGAAGACGAATGTCGTCGGGATAGCCACGCGTAAACCTCCGCTCCGTCCTCACACCAGAACGCCACACCCGAACGGTTGCTACCCACACTGCTCGAAAGCCAAGCGCAGCTTCGGTGTGGCGCAGATCCATGTCTTCAATGGGAAAATGTGAAATGTGGCACAGCGTCGAGGGGAAACTGGCCAATGGTTCGCGGTGCGACCGCGGGGAGGCCCGGATTCGCCACTCGAGAAAGCGCCCGGATCTCCCGCTCGGTCCCGGGCTTTCGGGTCCCCCTTGAAGAAGGGAAGAAAAAAGCAACGGCGGAGGTAAGTCTGTCCGGACCTCAGCATCCACCCGACCAATCCGAGCAACGGGTATGACTCTTTTGTTTTCTCCGTCGTTCGAAGCGTCTTTGACAAATCTCACCAGGCGGCGTTTTTCCCAACGGGTTTCGCTTCAGAGAGAGACTTTCAATCAATGTACCGACTTATTTCCACACCCATCTCAAGCGATGTACCTCATCTTCTCTTGCGACGGTACTCTGAAAAGTTGGCCACTTTTTCGCAATTCACTATCGCTTATGACGCAAACGCGCTGCAGGCGTGCAGGCCGCCTGCAAGGTTGGGTGTGTGTGGTGTGTGGCTGTCGGCCTTAGGCTTGAATGCGCCGGGCGCATGCGATCTGGGCTCACCTTTTTTTTTCTCCTTCGGTCCCTCCCTCTCTTACCCGCGACCAGCAGGCTGCTTGTTACACCGTTTTCTTTTGCTGACCATTTTATTGCACTTTTCCCGTTGCATCTGCCCACATGCGTGTTTTAGTTCCCGCCGCAACCCTCGTGGCCTGGTAAGGCTTTGGGCAGCAAAAATAAGGCAGGCTGGGCCAACAAGCCCAGAGAGGTAGATACGCAGGGTCGCAAGCCGCAGCAGCAGCAGCAGGGTGCAGGATTGTTGCATCCGCAGACACACACAGACACTGCCAACTCACCACCCGATTGCAAATTTTCAAGACTCTTGCACGATCTGGAGGGGGCCTAGATCTTGTCTTGCTGACAATTACATGACAGAAGGGACTGGTGGCAGGTTTTCGTGTTGTTCACGATCGTGATTTCTTCTCCTGGCGCTGTTGTTTCCTGTGGTATGAGTTCACGAATTCTTCACGTACACACCCCCTTGGAGATAACCGCCCAACCATCGACGACTCAGGTGTGAATAGCAAATGAGGAAAGCCCCGAGGTTTGCTTGCGCTACGTAGAAAGGGGAGTCATACGTGTCCGTGATTCGCCGGTGTTCCGGCACACCCTGTGACTCACACTTTTTTCGACGGTTCCCTCAGGTCTGGACCTGCGTCCTTGCGAGATTCTGGCAGGGTCCATGCTGTGAATCTAAGTGCCTATTCGTCAAAATGATTTCGGGTGGTTGGGGATTGGTGGTTTATTGGGGGTTTTCTGGTATTGATATCGCCACCTTTGGAATTGAGTTGGACCCGTCACGGGCAGCGGACCTTTGGTCTTCAGGCTTTGGGGGCCAGGCACCGCGCCTTGATGACGACTGTGTACCCGGCGTCTCGGGAATTAGGGGCGTGTGTGTCAATAGAAGAAAATCAATAACAACAAATCATTTATGCGTTCGCTTTGTTTTGAAGGTGCTTGGGACGGGCTGTGTAGGCAGCAGCCGCGTCTTTTTGGCCGAATGAGGTGAGAGTTTGGAGGATGGGGGCTCCTGACTGGCAGAATCTGGCTCGGGCTACGCGGAGGAGAGGTTTTGAGAGACTGGGGCATTTGTGCACTGCCCTTGGGTGAGTCTCACATGTCCGAGATGTGTGGATGTGATTTGAGGTTTGGGCCGTTGGCCTCAGATGGGAGATCTGGCGATGGGCAAGATTGGTCTTTGGGATTATTGTGAGGCGCCTCGTCTTCGTAAGTCTCCTTGATGACGTATTATGGCATTTTATTGGTTTGTATGAATGCTATGCCTGGAATTTGAGTCACATATCTTGAGTTACATTCAATAGGGGCACCCCTGAATGATTGTTAGGGAACTCATTAACACAGGAGGTGTTCGTCCTTTGACATAATCACAAGCCATTACTCTCCTAAGAAGGACAGTGTATACGCACTGGGCTACGTGAATGCCAGTTCAGCTATGTGGCTCCTACTCTAAGGCACGACGATATCTCAGGATTGGATGCTCGTCAGCATCAGCAGTATAGGCAAGGTCGGGACGCGAACCCCCAGCTGACCGATTAAATCACATAGATGGTGTCATATGCTCGCGGTGTCATCCACGAATCCACCTGGGGCCGCCACCTGAGCGGGAGCCTCGTTGAGAGACTTCACAGAGAGCGCTTCGCATACCCTTAGACTCGAATGCAAATGTCTGCTGTTGCGCTTCTTTTCTATTTTTGCTAAGCCAATATTATTTCCCGGTCGTCTATGTCTTGTTTTCTTCCGCTGCTTATATTGCAGCTTGTTTCGATACTTCCAAGAATAAGAACTTGTTGTCGTCAAATGTGTCAAAAGCCGCCGGTCAGGGAGTCTCATCGATACGTCGATACAATACGAGCACTCACAACACCGGGTCCGCAACCGGTGTGTGAGATCAAGTAATTCAAGAAGTCCTTCTTCGAGGATGAGCCCCCAAGGCTGGTCAATTTGTGATATGTGTGAGCCCCGAGGGCCAGCTATAACAGGTTTCTCGTCAATACCTGCAGTTACAAAAGGAGTCCCAGCTTAGAGTAGGGAGATGACAGAACGTTCTGAAGCATCTATTCTGGGAAAGAGCATTGATTATTCAGCAAGCTGTCGTCAAGACTCTTCCAACATGCAAAGACGGCTGGGTGATATACTAGGTTTGATTTCTCTATGTATGTGAATATTATTTGATCAGGGATGGCTTATGAGGTGCAGTGCTGTTTCTGACGCTTCTGCAGCCAGGATGAGAAGTGCTTAGAACGCTTAGCACACGTCTCACAATCCTCCAAGATTTGCTCTCGGAATACCGGCTTTTTCCGAAGATCCCTCGTCCTTTGAACCCTGCGTTGAAAAAACTCTGCCCTTCTCTTCGTGGCAAGGTCTTGCTTTGCTTGGCTGAGTTCAATCCACATTTCAAGATGGATCCAGCTTGTGTTTGCGAGTCTCCAGGCAGTTTTCCCGGACTTGTCGGGCTGGAATACGTTCGAGCCCTTCAAAAGAGCCTTGATGATGCGCTGAAGACTCTCTCGACGCAGCTTGTAATATCTCTGCTGCCATGAACCCCACCTATGATGCTTCCAGTTCTTAAGACAACCAACAGGAGCGCTAGCACATCCCTGCATGTCATAGCATGAGGGATTGAGGTGCGTCTCGTCATATGGCTCTGGAGCTACCTTTATCTTGCATGCAACGTGTAATAAAGTTCGCGTATCCAGTCCAGGCAGGACTTCCACAGATCCAGAGGCACCTCTGGCCACCAAGTGCTCTACAATTCCTGCAAGGCGGCACAGTGTTCCATGTTCTACACGACGACTCATCATCAAGTTAATTAAGACCTGCCTTGCAAACCAATCGTCCTCGAACAACAATCCAGGCCACGTTTCGGAGTCTGCGAGGAAACGCTCGAAGCTTTGATACCCTACCGGTACGTAATTGTATGTATCTTCAAATAGGCCGTCGCACACCGAGTCGGGGGGCATGTAGCCTTTGTTGGACGCATCAAGTAACTTTGAGCGCGCGTTAATAGTCCGTGAGTGTTCGGAAGGCGAGCATTTCTTGGGCACAAGATCGAATATGCGGAGTCTGTCGTCGTACATCGACAGCATGAACATTTGGGCCCCGGCCCATGAAGGAATGTGCAGCGTCGAATGCGGAAAAGTCTCCTCGTAGCTCCAGCTGTAGCCACTCATGGCGATAATATGCTTCGCTACAGACATGATGCCGTTTTGACGTTGAACCAACTTCCCGAATTCTGCGACTTTGAAGAGATGGAACCATTTCCCGAAACCTTCCTCGTCCTCTGGATCGCCAGTGACGAGCTCAAAAAGCTTGACAGCGCATTTTTCTGTAGTTCCTCTCCTTTCTTTGACGAGGAACTCGATCTGCTTGTTGACCCACTTTCGAATGTCGGCACTCTTCCAGGAAATTGGAGACCGGACTACCTCTTCTAGGATGCCAAAATAGCAAGATGATCCGAGGCAATTGGATGGACAGCGCTCTTCTATTCCCTGAATCTGCGACTTCAGGATGAAGCTGACGACATCAGCTCTTTCATGTCTCAACGCGATGTCCAGCAGTCTTCTCGACGGCACCATGATGCGTTTGTTGACCATGAAATTCAAAAGGTCGCTGGTAGCCTGTTGCATCATCGCGTCTGTATAAGTATCGTCGACCAGCCTCTCAAATTGTGGTCGCAAGCCTCCGTAGTAGAAGAGGCTTCTCAGAGTTTTCTCGTCTTGTACAGAGGGATATGTGGTGTCCCAGACGAAATCGTCATTCTCCAAAGGCTTCAAGTCAGCACCTGCGTCAATGAGTCGCCGAAACACAGCATAGTTTCGGTAGATGAGTGCCAGTGACACCATAGATAGGTGCTGCATGTGATGAGAATTGTGTTGTTCTAATTGTTGCTTGGTTCGTACACGGTGAATGTGTTGGTAGTCCTCGGAACTTGGTTGGGTGGTCATGCTCGGCGAGAGGCCAAGGTCGAGGCATGCGTCGATCAGCTCTTGATTTCCTCTCCTGCAGGCCCACGGCAGCATATCGGTGTGGCCTGCCTCGACGTCCTCTCGAAGGAAGTGGTCATACAATAGTATAGCGAAGTACCCGCAAGTCCGCGCCCAGCTGATGGCGTCTTCTCGAGGAAGGTGTTGAACGATAAGGAAGATGGCTTTGGCTGGCAAAGACACAATCGGAACCTTTTCATGGTCGCGGAACCACGAAAGAGATATCTTATCCGAAGAAATCGGGAAGTATGGCGAAGCCTTACCAGGCAAAGACGTTGAAGATGAAAAACGCATGGTACATATCAAAGTCTGAGGCAAGATCGGTCGTTGAAATGTGAAAATGAAAGTTATTGCCGTGGTGCGGATGCAGACGAGGCAGAGCCATTTTATTTGTGGGTGAGAACCTGAGTAGCGCACTTTCGGAAAATCTGAATTATGTATGAACATGTGACATTTTCAAAGGTTGGATCTGTTATTCTCAAGCGCACAAGGTCATGTATGGATGGCACCTTGAAGGGTCGTGAGACCGCGATCTTCGTCCACAACACGGCCATGGGTAGCAACGATGAGACTGAAGACGAGATGTTCAATGGGACGGGACTAAAGCAAAGAGCCCTTAAACTAATCAAACTGCAGCTCTCCCCATTGAAGTTGCCTGGTCTTTCATGCTGCATTCTCTACAACTTCCTCGGCCGATCTGTTTCTTCACCGAAACTGCTACCAATATCTTCGCAAACCTTAGTTTTCTCCGAAACGATCATCGGCACCTTTCATAGCTCTGAAGACGTGACGGGCAGGTAGAGCATGAGCCTTCGGAGATGGCTCTTTACCATCAATATATGGTCGAATATCCTTCCTTTCTCTGATTGACTGCTTTACTTCTCCTCTAAGATTGTCGTACATCTCAACTGCACACACATAATTGTCATTCGACGCACCACCAGCATCTCGATACCGGCACCAAGAGCGATACAGACAATAACGTGTTCCCGTACAATACGAATACTGTAAGTGTCCCATTCGTGTATCTCCCAAGAGCCCAAGACCGTGGATTTCTGGCAAACACATCATCTTCGTCGTCTTCTCCCGAGGGCAGTGGAACACTTGAACACAAAGTAGATCATCCACTTACACTCCACCATAGCTAGCAGACACCATGTCTTACCAGGACCCCAATGCTTTTCTCGAGTTTCCCGGATGGGAATGTCCTTGCGGCGGAAATGACGGCGGATGCGCCGCCCAAGGGCTGAAGAATGCTATTGGTTATTCGATCGTAAGAGGCAACGATGACGCCGCACTCAATGACGCAACATCTTGGTGTCAAAAGCTCCTGAAGATCATTTGCAGCAGCGGCATGCAGCCGGTCTTCCTCGAACGGGATTGGAGGTGCCGTTTTGCTGGTAGCGTCCTGCCAGACCTCCTTGACCAGAGATGCTCGGCCCAAGTGTTTGAGGTGTTCTTGCGCTACACAGGCTACGACGATGTCAAGCACCCCTATACTCTCGGAGTACTCCAAGTGGTAATCGAATTACTCCTGAGCGTTGATCGTTGTGAGGAGAACAAACTGGACGAGCACTCTCGACAAAAGATCGACCTCATCCTGTTCGCTATCAGCAGCAGATTCGTCGCTGAGGATCCCAGTTCGGAGCGCCAGTTGACCTTCAGTTATATCAAGCCCTGGTTGATGGATCGTTGTAGGTGGGCTGCTTACCCGCCAACAGCTACCCACCCGCCCAACGCACACTTCCCAGCGTTTCTTGGTCTCTTGGACACCATGATATCCTGTTTCTGGGACAACCGACATTGGGATAATCAGGCCAATGTCCTCTCACGCACCATCTACGACGATGCGTTTTGGTTCTGCCTGCTTGAGATGTTGTGGACGGATCAACGCGTCATCAACGGGACCATGTGTCGCGTCGTAGACCTCTCACGCAGGCTGCTGGCTATCGGGAAAGAGCTGAAGGAGGGGGGCATGTGCGCTGATCGCGACCCCTTCACAAGGAGGGAATTTTCGACTGAGGGTCGTCGCGGCTGGAAACTCCGGAATTTGGTCAAGGAACTGAGGGATGGAGCAAAGGGACACAAGAATCGTTGTATTGCGGCAGATTGGTCTGATGACATTGAAGTAGGATTCAGGATTGTGGACGGGAATCAGGGACGAATCGACTTCGACAACCAAGCTGCGAGGATGCGCAAGAATAGTTGGCTTGAGATGGGCAGACTCGTGCGTTCCTGAAAGGAGTAATCCAAGGGTAGCCGAGCTCAAGAAAACTCTCATCGAAACAGCCATAGACGTGGTTGCTGCAGATCTGGCATCTGGCGATGGGAGAGATTGTGCCTTAGCTTGACACATACCTTAATTCAATAGAGGTGTTCCCACGTTCTCGCATTGTTCGTATGATGCTGTCCTGCCCAACTGTCATGTTGTTTTCGATTCCATGGTTCTATGACCGTAGCGTTTTACTTCGTAACCCACTGACTTTCTCTTCTCGATTTGTCGTTCATAAGTCTGTTTCAGCCTGTGCCATTCGGACGAAGCAAAATCTGTCAAAATTTGCCCTTTTACACTATTCGTGATGGGAGCAACCGACGAAGAAGCTGCTTCAATTCAACTCTAGTATTACCAATGGTCAGCGACCTTTACGAGCACTCTCTGGGTCATCCCTGAAACATCTACACAAATGCTTTAAGACGTCAGGAGAGCTGTCAAGATCACGAAAGGCTTTCTCAGCTTTATCCGCTAACGATTTCCAAAATACTGCCCCAAATAAAAAGCCATCCAATGGCCTGGGTTGCTTGGCTATGCAACAACACGACCCAAATATAACACCCTCGTGAAATGAGAAATTTTGAGGTCAGATTAAACTTTTTGTCGCTTCCAAACAGGTGGATTGTTGCGCGTGGGGCTTGCATCTGTCAAGATCTCGCAATGGGTTCGGATGACAGCACTTTTCCACAATGTTGTGGATATGGCGGCGTTCTGGCCACTTTGCCTTGCAGTGCGGTCCTGCTCGGGGCCCAAATTAGAAATCCCCGGACGGTGAACTTGTAACACTCGATGAGCCTGGGGATCACTCCTTGTCCACAAGACCTTTATTGCTGGTTGCTTGGGTGTACTGGTGGTCCGGTCGGCATTTCTGTACCAAACCAATGCTCCCAATCTAACCCGTCGCACTTCCTCATCAACGCTATCCAAGAGGCCCTTCCGCCGAGACGGTTAGAAGACCCCCGACCAACATTTTAGATTCATTGCAGGAAAATTCTTTCATTGTCACTGGCCACATAAGGTGCGATTGGTCTTCATCCATGCCCGCCATTGTGGCTCATCATGGTCCCATTCAGCAGAAGCGAGCGATGGCTTGGCGTTAGAATAAGGTGACGGGAGCCCCTGGTGGCGGAACCCATCCTTTCCTGCGACCCATCAACACATCCGAGTCTCAGCTGCTTGCCTTACCTTATCAGGCTGACTTTGAAATTGGTTAGCAACGGAGCACCTTCGGTCAGAATCTCTCAGCTTCAAGCCCTGTGTCAGTTATTCTCATTAGTTCCGTCGTATCGTTCGACTGTTACTGGCCGAAATCATTAATGTTTGGGCCCCGCTGAACAAGGTGTGGTGCGAACGATGTGGAACTGCGCTTCAGCGACCAATCGGAGGGAAATGGGACGTGGTGGTTGCAGGTCAGGGCTCCCCGAAGGATGCAAGGTGGCCTGCATTTGCGCGTTCCAGCGCTGCTCTCAGCCAGTGTGATGTCTTCCTTCTTTCGGCACTACTTCCAAAATCGAAGTCAACGCCGTGGGCTAGTTGGATGAGCAGCGCCCGGCTTTGATGGGCAATGGAACACAGAGCGCGCACTCGTGTCACTCGCCTAACGAATGTTACTGTCTGTTCTGCATTGCTCGGTGGAGAAAAAAATTCTTGAAGTAGCAGTCATTCACAGAGTAAATTCGCAGTAGGCGGAATACAGAGCCCACAAATGCGAGCACGTCGACAATCCTTTGTGCGCCAGCCCGTCGTGGCTGCAGGAGCCGTCGGGAGGGGCTTCGAGGACTTCGTTCCATTGCCGGCGCAAGTCTCCTCGCGTGCCAGCCTCCCAAAGCAGAAACTGACGGCTCCGGGGTGGTATTGGTGGGAGATGGCGTGTTCGTTGGGCGGAAGTCAGCAGGTAGACTGCTACCTAGGGCGGCCGTACGGGTGAGCTAGGCGGTGATCCCGGGTGCGGGGGGAATCAGCCTCTTTCGACATGGCTGGCATGCCGAGACAACGACACCTCCCCGAGAAGGCTCGCCCATGGGAGGTTCCAAGGCGGCGGTGCGGCGCAGGCTCTCAATTATAGAAGGTGGAAGGAGTCCAGAAGGGCGATGCGATATGTGAAATTGAAGCTAAGAGATAGGCGAGTCTAGTCGCTTACTGTTGAAGAAAGGACAATCGACAGGTGACAGATGGCGGGAGCGTACATCCAGCGAGGAGGAAAGGGTCGTATGGTGGTACGGCCCACCGTTGAATCGTCTTGGTCATGCTGGCCGGCGCCTTGGTGTCTTGGGGGAGGGATTCTTCGGATCGCTGGCATTCGCAGGTTGCGGCGGGAAAGGTGCCCATGGATCGTTTGGCAGGAGTCTGAAGGGGCGTTATCTGGCTGTGGCGAGGGCGCCAACACCGATAAAGCAACTTGGCGAGAGCTTGGTACCAGTGATGAAGAGTCGATAAAAGATGCCAAAATTTGCCAAAGGGTTGGCGAGGGTTGGCATTGCTGGGCCGGCGAGTGAGATGTCGTGATTTTGTGGAGGGAACTGGGTTTTGTTTCTCGCTTGGGGGCTCAATGGCGTTGGAAGCAGGCGAGTCTCGTTGAGGTAGCGGTCACGTACTCTGTAGAGACCAGGGGTCTGCAAGTCGGTGGCTTCAATTTGCGAATACGTAATCGCGTGAGCGTGTGCTTCGGGGCAGATTGGAAGCTCACTGGCTGCGTGGAGGACTTTTTGAAAGGCCAAGGGCTGGGCAGCGCAAAGAGTCTGCAAACCGCAAATTGCATCCATTCATGGAGGACGTTAGGTGGGCAGCCGTCACCCGTTGAATCGATCAATCCGTCCGCCCATCCCCCATCTGTGCTGGTGCCACGGGTTTGGCTGTAGGGTGGCCGTTTGGGGGCGCTCGAGACCACTGGCCGGTTGTGATTGGCCTCGTTTGAATTGGCTGAGGTGGTACATGTTTCTTCCTCTCCGGGATTGGGTTGGGAAGGAATTCGTGTGAAGCACAAAAGAAAGTAGGAAATGTCGCGAGCAAAGAATGTCTGGTGGGCAACTGTGTCACGTCACAAGAAAGAGAGAGAATGTCGCCAGGGGAGGGAGGGTGCCTGGGGAGGAGCTCGGGACGGGAGTTGGAAGGCACCTGTCCGCTAAGACGAACGGGGAGTAGCACGGCGGTGCGCTGGAAAGGAAGGAGGACGGGGCGGGCGGGCAGGGCAGTTGGAGGCAAGCGCCGCAGATGCAGGTGCAGGGTCCGCTCCTTCTCTGTCGGGTGTGACAAGACAGCATACAGAGTGTGAGCAGGTGCGATAACCGTGTTACGAGCAATAACTTCCATCCTGAGGTAAGAGCACCTTGCGACAAGTCCTCTTTGGCTTCTGGCCACACTCATCCTTCCTCTCTTCCTTCCTGCCTTATCCCGTCAGGTGCGTGAGGTGCTCTTTCCCTTTCCCATCGCCGGTACGTACATTGTACCACACCCTCCAACGGGATCCACATTTCCCCGCCAAGATCGACCCCCCGCCGCCCCTAGAAGGCGCGGAACGTCCTCACGTCCTTCCATGCATCAGTCCGGGCGGGCTCCGCTGATAATGGCCAGCTACGCACAAGATACACGACGCTACCTCCCGCGTAGCCCTCACAACGGCCTCTTCTCCCCTCAGAAACATCTGATCTCTGTGTCCCTCCTGTACGCCATTTGCTGCCGCGCTCTCTGGCATGCCCGTGGCCACGGGCCCTGTCATATCGACGTCCACACCCACGCCGACTCCTCGACTCACGCCCACGTCCGCCAATCCCATCACTCACTCTCATTTGTCTTGGTTATTCGGTATCTATTCAACATGCTTGGCTACCTATCCGTAGGCAGCCCACGCCTCGAGTCCCTCCTTCGATCAACATGGGGTCTTGCGACACTTCCCTGAACTCTTCAAATCCACCTTCTGTTCTCGTCTGGCCTCCCGCCTGCTTCACTCCACTTCCCCAAGACTTGGCCTTCCTCTGCCGCTTGGCAAACATCCATCTTACTCGCCTGGGTCCGGATGTCGACTCTTGCAGCTCTTTGACTCGTTGGTTACCGCTGCTTCGTTGCCTCTCCATAACCTTGCTCCCCTCCGCATGCCTGCCAGTTCCTCGCCGCTGATAGTCATGGATACATGTAATCGCTCGGCATGACAAGGAGACACCGGATAGGGTGCGAGGCCAAGGTACCAACACGGATATGGATGCATGCTAAGATGTGCTAAGGCAACGAGGGCAAGGAGCTGGGAAGGGCTAGAGTGACCGTCGCATTTGCAGCTTCTGCTGTCGCGTCCTCCACCGATCGCCCTCTCGTCCTTTTAATCCGACCGCGTCCCCCCTCGTCTCTCAGCGAGCTTGCTCTTCTCCTACCCTTGTGCTTCACCTGTCATTCTCCACAGGCCCGTCGCCTCCTTTCCAAGCAACTGCGCCCAAGGGCCCTACCCTTTCCTTCGCTGAGGACGGACAATCGCCCAGTGCGAATCAACAACATGGCGGCCGAGAAAGACATCCACGATGGCGTTTCGACGCCCGAAACCACCCAAGTCCATACTGGAACCCCTAGCGGTGGCCTTCCCCCTGTTAGTGGCAAGGCTGCCACTGCATATGGCGAAGGCGCTCTGAGCCATGGAGCGGCTCAACGTGACGAGAACTTTTACACGCGTAACGGCCTCAACTTTGAGTCGTTCAAGCCTCGCGACTATGGTCGCGGCATCGTGGAGCTTGACCGTACCATGAAGTCGCGTCATCTTCACATGATTGCTATCGGTACGTTTCGTTGGCGAAAGATGGCCATGAAGCGACTGCTGACGTGACTATTTGACAGGCGGCTCCATTGGTGCTGGTTTCTTCGTCGGTTCCGGAGGTGCTCTGAGCACTGGTGTCAGTCTCCGCATACCCCCAATCGTGGCCCACTCAGTACTAACCTCTTGAAGGGACCTGGATCTGTTCTGATTGATTTCATGATTATTGGTGTCATGATGTTCAACGTCGTCTACGCTCTTGGTGAACTCGCTGTCATGTACCCCGTGTCCGGTGGTTTCTACATCTACTCATCCCGCTTCATCGACCCCTCTTGGGGATTTGCTATGGGTTGGAATTACGTATTTCAGGTCAGAGCGTCCGTCGATTGACTGCGCAAACGCAAGCTGACAGTAACTAGTGGGCCATCGTCTTGCCTCTCGAACTAACTGTATGCGGCTTAACTATCAATTACTGGGAAGGTGCCAGGGAAGTCAGTCTGGCGGTTTGGATTACCGTCTTCTGGGTCGCCATTATCTTCATCAACATATTTGGAACTTTGGGATATGCCGAAGAGGAGTTCTGGTCCTCCCTTCTCAAGCTCAGTGCGATTTGTGAGTGGATTGCATCCTCGATCAAATACGACGGTTCTAATTAATTTGCCAGGCATTTTCATGATCGTCGCATTTATCCTTGTCCTGGGGGGTGGCCCTTCCAACGGCCGCTACAACGAATACTGGGGAGCTCGATACTGGTACGATCCGGGTGCTTTCCAAAACGGATTCAAGGGCTTCTGCGGCGTGTTTGTCACTGCTGCGTTCTCTTTCGCCGGTACTGAGCTTGTTGGATTGGCTGCTGCTGAGTCCGCAAACCCGCTAAAGTCTCTTCCTGGCGCCATCAAGCAGGTGTTCTGGCGTATTACCCTTTTCTATATCTTGGGTCTCTTCTTTGTCGGCCTCCTTGTTCCCGCTGACGACCCTACCCTCCTTGGTGCCGAGAACGCATACGCTGATGGTGCTTCGCCTTTTGTCATTGCTGCCAAGCATGCTGGATTGAACGGATATGACCATTTCATGAACTGCATCATCCTGGTATCTGTTCTATCACTTGGAGTTTCCTGCGTTTACGGAGGCTCCCGTACCCTCACTGCTCTTGCGCAACAAGGCTATGCCCCCAAGATCTTCAGCTATGTCGACAAGGGCGGTCGCCCCCTGCCATCGGTCGTGGTTCATCTGGTTTGCGGCGCCCTTGCCTTCATGAATCTGGATGCTGACGGTGAGACCGTCTTCAACTGGCTTCTCAACATGTCTGCTCTGGCTGCTCTGTTCACCTGGGGATCTATCTGCCTGTCCCACATTCGCTTCCGCAAGGCTTGGGCGTACACTCCGTTGCGTTGACAGCGTCCGCCCCCCTTTTTTTTCCCCGCTTATGCAAAAACATGAAAAAAAGCCAATTTTACGCTGTGACGCGCATTTCTCTGCATCGCACGCAAAACGCGTCAAAGTCATCACCAACACCTCAATTGCCGTCAATCACTATAGTCCCAGTAGTATTCAAACGTATAACTACACGATAGAGACATAAGGTGTGTATTTCATGCTTCCGTAGCAGTCAATCTACCCATCGAGGCATTGCCAACCCAGCTAGTCACCTCATCCCCATACCATTCGACCAACAAAAGGTCTATTTTCGTCATGAGAGATCAAGATGACATTTGCTGAGGAACAGAAGAAGAGACCTGCTGTATGACTTTATATATCTACTCAGCATACGGTTTGTATGGCTCTGAGTAATATATAAGCATACCAAGGGGCTTGATACGGTTCTTCAGAGCAAATGCTTTGGCAGTCAACAGGATTAATGACTCTCCTGATAGCTCAGCTTGTTCACGATATTGAGCAAGAGTCTACTGCTGTATAGATTGTGCCCTGTTACTTACAGTTTGCCGCTGGTCAGTACATGTCCGTGGTTTATTATATCAGATACATCGAGAAAGACGCCGGGCGACGACGACGATACAATGGCGCCCAGAATATCGAATCTACAGCTATCGACGATCGCGATGATACTGCCATTCGAAGACCAAAAGACCCACGAGCTGGCAAGTATCGTTGGCTGTACCGAACGAACGATTCGACGACATAGATCACGACGTAATATCACTGGCGAAGTGCAGAGATATAAGAGGTGCCGCCAGAGTCGACAAAAGATGGAAATATGGCATCGTACAGAGCTTCTTGAACTACTGCAGTACCGCAGCGATCTATCTCTTGAAGAGATGCAAGATTTCCTATTTGAAGCCTTCGAGATCCAGATCAGTCGTTCTGCAATCAGTCGACAGTTAAACTCAGCTGGCTGGACGAACAAGAAGTCCAAGATTATTGCTGCTCAGCGAAGTGACGAACTACGATACGAGTACTTGTACCGTATACGACGATATCGCCCCGACCAGCTGGTATTCGTCGACGAATCCGGCGTCAATAAGGATACTGGGATACGGAGGACTGGATGGGCGCCGAAAGGGCTTGCTGCGTTTCGAACTGCAGAGATTGATCGGTTTCAGAACTCTCGCGTACAGATCCTGCCAGCCCTCACGTTGAGCGGTATCCTACACTTGACTACGTATTATGGTACGACTGACGGCGATGGGTTCTTTCGTTGGCTACAGGAGTGCCTTATCCCGAAATGTGGGCGTTTTCCAGAGCCAAACTCTGTCATCGTTATGGATAACCTCTCCTGCCATCGTATACCTGAAATCGAGGGTTTATGCCGGGTATCAGGTGTCCATCTCGAGTTTCTGCCTCCGTATTCACCAGACTTCAACCCCATCGAAGAGTACTTCGGCGATCTAAAGCGATACATCAGGAAGACGTATTCGAAGTGGAACAACGATGAGAATGACACTCGGGATTTCATGGAATATCTACGTGACTGCGCTATGGAGATTGGGTATCGTCTACCCCAGATCGAGGGCCATTTCCGCCATTCGTTCGTCAACTTTGATGGGACAGAGCATATATTTGACGATATCGAACTATAAAAGGGAGGATTTGCTGCCAATATTGAACATCAGCAAGCAATCCAAATTTTCATCGTGCGTTCGCGCGCAATAGATCTTAATCGTGTCGTCATATGATGGTCAATCATCAAATCCATGATTGTAGCCAACAAGATTGCCAAAAGGTTAGCCACAAGCGCACCAGAACACAAAAAATATACCGTCGTCCATTGTTTTCGTCGGTAGCTACGTATACATATCAATTTTGCCTGTATAACGGCTGAAACGCGTTGTTGATGCTTGTGACGATGATTTGTGATGATGACACGTCATCACGATCAGAGACTTCAACCATAGTCAGAGACTTCAACTGCCCCTAACCAGTATCGGGATGGACCGAAGTGTATTGTTTGCAGATCCAAAATAACAGTAATTCTATTGCTTTTATACGTATAGAGCGGCAGTGTTGAATCTACGGCTATGGGTAGACTTTTCCGTGGTTGAACACGTCATGCAAAAAAATCGCGCATACAGTCAAACTTCACACCACTCTTGCTGTATCACTCTTCTTCGTTATCCTCCTCCGAGTAATACGTCTCTGTTGACGACGTATCACTCGAGATTTCAATCTGATTGTCCTCATCGCCTTGCTCGATTTCGTCTTGTTCGATCTGTAACTGCGTGGGCAGCATCTGCGACGCTGACAGCAGTGGTGACGAAACGAAACCAAAGAGTTCCGAAACGCCTACAAAGTTAGCCATATTCGACAGTAAACAGCTCTATATACACTCACCACGTCGACCAACTTCAACTGGCGTACCACGGATCTCTTGCTCGATGGATTGACGTGGCACTAGGGCGTCGATATGTCGGGATGACCCCAACTCGCCTGAAACTAGCGCCGCAGAGTTTTCAACTGGCGCCGCCGCCGTCCCTCCTGGCAATCCAGCGTATATTCTTGTATAAACATCTCCTTCTGACTCTCGATGGTTTGAATGAAGTTCAGAGTGAGATACCACGTCGGAGAGGGCGTCAGACTGCCCTCCGTAGTAGGCGCTGTTGTCTATGAAGGATTTGATCGAGTTCCTGACATCTTCGGTAAGATCTTGAGTAAAACCCTGTTCAGTAAACCAAATATCTGGTAACTTGCGAATTGCCCGCAAGCTACTGTCTACTGATCGCAGTTTCTGTAGCTTCTTTCTGAACCCTTCGTCGACGTTATATCGCTTGCCGCGGACGGATATAAACCACTTGATGAAGCTGGCCACTTGATCTAGAGCTTTTCGAGGCGAATCCGGTACCACTGGCGAGGACGAACGAATCGGGAGTGCGATACTTGGTTGACGAGTGCTTGGAAGGTTCAATGGCGGAAGAGTTGGCAACGAATACTGTGAGATGTTCGCATATGGCCAATATGCCGGCGGCGGCGGCGCCGGCGGCGGCAGCTGTACGTATGGGTTAGGATATTGAAGATGACGATCTGGCGCCCCCGCGTTGCCGTATATATTGACGATGGCGTTGCTGTTGGCGTTGGTTAGGCCAGATCTTGACCCTGATGATGGAAGTGCGGCATTTTCAGCCTTCTCTTCCGTCATCACTGTCGTCTCCTGGTTATCATCAACCTCCACGATATTCTTACTTCTCTTGCCCTGGCGTTTCTGATCCTCTATAAACTGGTCGTGAAGAATCTCACCAAGCAGTTCTTTAGGTGGTTCCATATTGTCAACGCCAGCCTGTCCAGTCATAATAGCCTTCGCCCACTTCTCTATATGGTGAGATTTGATCTTGTAGTGCTTCTGGCCTAGTATATAGCACCAGTTGAACTTCTCGTCGCCCGAACTATTCTTACATCTCTGGTACTCTGGGCAGATGTGCGTACGGAGAAGTTGTCTGTGCATACCCTCCTTCCGACGCTCGACGTTTGCAGGATCGTTAGCCTCACGATCGATCGCCTCTTGCATGCCGGCTGAAACGCCTGCTCGGCCACCTTTTCGAGGCGTTCGTACGCCAGTCACTATACCACCAGAGATTGGTACGGCGCTGTATTGCCACTTGACGGTGAGGTGGACTTCACCCCTCTCTTCAGCTTGTTCAAGAGAGGGGACAATATCAACCCATGGAATACTTGGCCAAGTGACCCCTCCAGTAGACGGATAGACCCGAGTGAAGATTGGTGTTGGTTTAGATGCGTTGGTGGGCTTCCTCCAAGCAACGACAACAGCGATATTGGCCTTCTTCACAATATACGAGTGAGCCACTTCTGCCTCAAGTTGGGCGCCGCTGTCTGCCTCCCAGTCTCTACTATTCGCATCTAATACAGGAGCAATACTGAATCTGTTATACGCGATGCTCTCGATGGTTAGATCGAGAACAGGTAAACCGTTACCCTTGAGCGCTGGGCCACGGGTAACCTGGATTTGTAGCAGAGTTGGTTCCTCGTTACCCATATCGTCCTCCTCTTCAAATACATCGTGGAACGACATAAACGTATCATCAGCGCTATGGCGAGGGGCCGTAGGCGTATCGTCCGCAAATCGAGTGGTTTGACGAGGGGTTGGGTTAACTGGGGTCGAGTCTGGTCGAAACGGTGGCATCGACGAAGGCAGAGTACTTCGGAGCCGGATCGTATGCGGCGGATCCTTCTTTCGCTTCCTCTGCGTTGTCGTTGCTTTTTGGCGAGAGGACGCTTTTGGAGCTCTTCGTGATGACGGAGGGGCTATAAGTACACGCTTTCTTCGCGATGTAGACTCAGCCGCCACCAAATCATTAGTCTCGGGTCCAGCCTCGGCGACGATAACCTCCTCGGCGGCCTCCTCGGCGGCCTCTTCGGCGGCGGCAGCCCGGCGAGCCCTCTCGGCGGGCGTAACGATCCTGATCGACGGCGAGGCAGAGCGTTGAGGAGGATCTCTGGCGGCGTCCTGTGCCAGTTGTTGTATACGTCGTTGTTTCCGCGTACCGTTGGCGATGGGTGACGGACGATGCCCAGAAGGGTCATCATCCGCCTGCCGAGCCGCGCGGCGGCGTTTAGGAGGCATCACGATGCCCTCAGATAATGAGATTCAATAGAAATAGATCAATTGAAGCCATCAGAATAGGTCAATTGCCGTACTACGAATATCTACGTGGCGTTGGGCAAATTTTCATGTATATACAGGGATTATGCGTGCGTAATTTCGGCAAAAAGGGGGGGCGGACGCTGTCAACGCAACGGAGTGTACCATGGTCACACGGTTGACGAGATCCCCTTCCAGGCGGCATTTGGTGTTGCTGGATCTTGGGTCGGCCTAATTCTTTGCATCGTCGTCTTGATTGCCCAGGTAAGTTGTATTGTCGTTGAAGCTTCTATGCCGTCTGCGTTACTAATACTAGCCAAGTTTTTCGTTGCGATCGCCCCTCCCA